AGGACAAAGCTCTGCTGTTTTGGTCCTGCCCCCCCCCCCCCAACCCCCCCCCCAAGCTCTCTCTGGGTACTCCTGAGTTCCAGCTCTTTCCTCCAGGGGAGTGTGTGCTCTGAGGTCCTGCCACCTTGGGGCTCTATGAGTGTGGGGCAACTGACCAGTTCTCCTGAAATACTTCCCAGCTGGACAGCATTCTGACCTGCAGGGCAGGGAGCACCCAGGCCCCTGCCAGTGACCACAGCTCCCAGCCGTGTCCACACCAGGCAGTCTGATGGCAAAGCATCAAGCTTGGACATCGGCTGTGCCTGTCTCTCTGGAGCAAACAGCACCAACACCCGGCACCTTTCGTAAGGTGGCCTGTAGTGACAAAGCCCGTGTGACCTGGAGTAGGTACTTGCCCTTTTTGGGCCTCGGGGTCCCTAACTGGAAATGGGGAGCGTGGATGCCCAGGAGCGTGAGCGCTCATAGCGCCTGGCTAGGCACATGAGCTGTGCCCAGCTCTCTGATCGACCTGTCTGCAGTGTGCCACAGTGTCGCCCCCCCCACCCCCGCACACACTGCATTTTGCTTGCTTGCTCTTCCCCTGTCTGCGTGCCCTGTCCTCCTGTCTACCCTCTACCCCCCAGGGTGCCCCAGCCCTCACAAGCTCTCACCCTTCCGGGGCCAGTGGAATGTTCGATTCCAGCTTCTCTCCTAGAAACCCTTCCCCCTGCCCCCAGCCACCCCATCTTCAGACAGGTGAGTCCTTCTCTTGCGCTGACCTGACAGTTCCCCAGAGCCTTCCATACATTCCAGAAACTTCCTCCAGACTCAGAATCAGGGGCTCTTGGTTCTCCTCTTGCTTTTCTATTAGCCTGGTGGGCCAACTTTAGTGACTCCTCATCTCTCTTTTCCAAGAGCAAGGCAGTTGGAGAAGTTTGAGCATCTGGAGGTTGCACTCTGCTCACACATTAAATAAATAAGGAGTGTCCATGTTCTGCACCCTCGTTCACGGGAGCACCCACCAACCCTCGCCTCTTAGTTCACATCGGTGTGGTCAGATGTGGGCAGGGCTCTTACAGCTTCTTGTGTCGCCCTGATGTTTGCAATGCTGCGCTTGGCCCTGCGAGCCTCAGGCGCTACCTAGAGAAGCGTGCTCCCGAGCTCTTAGCCGCGGCCCAGAGGGCCCATGGGGATGCCACAGAGCGATCGTGTGCCTTGTCCCTGAGGGCTGGCATGGTCTCAAGGCTGATCTGAAGCTGTGCCCGAGCCTCTGCCACTCACCTCTCCCCCTGGCCCCCATGTAGCTCCCTGGCCCCCCCTCCCCCTCCTCCCGCTGCTGGGACGGGCTCCACCAGGGTGAGCTAGCGCCCCCCACACCCACCACCCGACACCCACACCTCCCAGTCTCCTGCTGAGGCTGGCAGACACCTAAAGAGATGAGTAGCTTTCCCCGAAGTGTGGAAATGCCCTGGAGAAGTGGAGCTTACTTTCACTTCTAAAGCAGCAAGATTCAAAGTAACAACAAAATAACAGTGAGAGAGAGAAAAAAAAAAAGGTCTTTGGAACAGTATCTATCTTCTCTGCTAACTTGCAACAAAGTGACGGGGTTTTAATGACTGGGTTTAGATCTGTCCCGGAGTCCTTAGGATGTTAGTGTTTTTCCCAAAATGGGAACTATTTCCTCTGATTTCACCAGCTCGGGACCTCCCCGTGGAATCGCCAAGGTGCACCTACCCACAAACAACACACAGGACGAGGGAGCTTAAGATCCACTCAGACTTGAACCTGTAGCAGGCTCTTCCATAATTTCATGGTTTGTTTGGAAAACTGCCCGACTGTGACACTGTATCATCTGGGCTAACACCACCCTGGTGTGGTGAGTGATTGCTGCAAGGCAGGCTTGTCTTCTCAAACAGCGTAGGAGATAAAGTGTGAATACAAAACTGCGTCCGGAAAATAATTTCCAAAGTGCCAACGAGTACACAAATAGGAAGACTGAGCCACAGAGAACTTGCAAGACGCAGACTTTATGGGAAGGCAAAGTTGCAGAGCTTCCGCCCACTGCCTTTGTATTCTCAGGTGGTTTTCATGCTGAGGACAAATGTGACTTTGATTGCACCGCAAGAAGAGAGGGATACGATACACGCCACCTGTCTGTCCCAGATCTTCAGCGAGAGGCCCTGCTCAGGGATTTGGGTGAACCAGGCTGGAGGCTGCTGACATGTGCTAACACAGTGCTTTTGGGTTCAGTTTAGATTTTCTCACATGCTAATGATCCCTAAATAATATGTTCCATTTTGCATTCACAAGGAATCCCATCGCCATAGCAACTGGATGTGGTACCAGAAGTTTTCTTGTAAAAGGGGCTTAAGTGCAGCCTTTGTACCCTGGCATTGTGGCCAGGCTGTGTGGCCCCGGCCAGGCTCACGAGAAGCCCTCCCTGTGGGTCTGGGGCGCTGAGGGCACCCAAGTTTACCCTGTCCCCCCCTGCTGTAAGCACTGCAGCCCTGCAAGACTGTCTACACAGCTACTTCTTGGGGGGCAGACAGGGCCTTAGAGAATAAAGTTATAACTTATCTTTGTAATGTCTGGTAGGAAAAGAGCGGAGCACGGATGATTTTAGAATTTTTGCTTGCACAAGTAAAAGTACACTTTTGAGCTTTCTGTATCAATAACTCCCAGGAGATTTGGGACGAGCGACAAACTGTCATCAAGGGAACTCAAGATGACATTCAATATTCTGCTGCCATCTTGGGGCAGGGAAAGGAGGACGTTGTTACTTCTTCCAAGAGCGTGTCTTCCCCCTCCCCCCCCTCTGTCAGTCTGTCTCCTCCTGTTTCCTGTTGGAACCACAGTCCTGGTAAAGGTGGACAAACACCCACCCACAGTACCCTCTTAGCCGCTGCTTTCCATCCCCGGCAAGCCCTGGACACTGCCTGCGGCAATGCTGGAGGAGGGGCCAGCGGCCGTCCTGCCTGCCAGAGACGAGTTGACCCTGAGCAGGAAGCTGTGAAAGCTTGGTGGGTCTGGACCCACGGAGTCCGGAGTCCGCTCTGGCTCCCAGGGTGGGGGCATCTCCCAGTCACACCCAGCACCGTGCTGGCTCCCTCCCCATCTGCCACCAAGCTATCTGAGCCTAGAGCTGTTCCCCAAGTCTGGCTGAGCACAACCTTTGTCCCCACCCTTACAGGTATCTCTCTCCTCTAGGTCTGAGGTCATATTCGATTAAGATAACTGAGGGCAACAAGTGACATCAGCCACCAGTTACTCTAGGTGCCGGCACGTACTGAGCTGTTTCTGTGCCACCTCTAATCGCTTCTCTCCGTGGCGGGAGACAGCCCAGGAGAGGGCCCAGAGAAGCAGAGCAGCGTGTCCAAGGTCGCCCAGCTGGGAAGCAGTCACGGGAGCCACAGGCCTCTCTGGGAGCTGCCACTGACCAGGGCACATCGGCCCAGAGGGTCTGCCATACGGACAGGGCAGGGAGTGACAAATCTGTGAAAGACTCAGCGAATCAGAAGGATTCCCTGGCTAAATTCGATCAGCTGGAAAGAGAACTGAACCCTAATCTGCCTGCCCACCACTGCAGCCTCTCCAACCCCGGCCTCCCTCACCGTGCAGGTTTTGTGGCGGTTGTTTTTTTCCCTTGCGTGAAATGAGAAATGCTGTTTGAATAACCGATGGTGAGGGAGGCTGTGCACACTCTGATGCAGAAATAAAAACCTTTAGAAAGATGCAATTTGGAGGATATTGGAAACCAGAGAATGGAACATCAGTCTATAAAATTCAACATGGCCAATAAAGCGGGAGCAGCTGGTCAAGTGTTTTAGTGCTGACGGCTGCCGGCGCGTTGCAGGCAGGCGCTGGTCAGTGCTTCCAGACCAGGGACATTTTTCTTGAGCTCATTTTGGCCTCATTTCCATAATGTGCCTCATGATTTCTGAAGCACCTCAGCGTTAGCAATGATAAGCACGGCCATGAAAGTGTCCAAGGCCATTCCCATCATAGGACAAACACGACGCTCCCCAACCCCACCCACTCCAGGACCCCACTGCTTGGGCGCCTGGGGAAGGGGGAAATGGCCCTGCATGTGGGCACAGGGGGCACCCGGGGTGAAGGCGGCAGGAGCCCACCAGCCCACGGCTCCCCGCCAAGCCTCTGTGCACTCCGCGTCACCCTCCCGCCTCGGCCGGTGCCTGTCAGGTGAGGCCCAGGTCAGCCTCGGCTCTGGTGCCCTCACAGGCCCTCTGCTGTCAATGCTGCAGGCACGGCTCCACCCCAAGCCTTCTCTTCCCTCCCTGTGCTACCGGGAAGCAGATCTCTGACCCCAGGCCACCTCACGGCAGCTCAGCCAGGCACAGCAGGCCTGCTCCCCGGCTTCTCACATCGTCTGATTTGCACACGGGGCTACATTCCATCCGCCAGGCCACCTGAGTACGGGACTCCTACCCTAACTCTCACGCGCATGGTGGAGCCTCCCCCCCGGATGAGCCTCTGTGCCCAGGGATGTCACACCTCCCCCCCCCCCCCGAGACGCAGGCCCTTCCCATCTACTGGGAGCCAACAAGCAGCTAAGTGCAGGGGGTCTCTGGCCCTGCTCCTCAGACATGCTCTGATGTTCACGACGGCCTCTGTCTTGCTGAGGTGCTCTGAGGGCCAGGGAGGGAGCTCTGGTCCATCCACCACCACTCCAGGCCAGGGCTTGTGGCCCCGCTATGCCGGGAAGCCGCCTGGCCAAGTGTGACCACAGAGTGCCTGCTCACTCGGGAGTCTACAGAGAGGCAAACACCAGTAGTCCCTGCCACCACCCCACAGGAGGGACCTGGCAAGGCCTTGTGTTCCGCACCAGCCTGGGCTCGGTGGGCCACCAGGAGTCTGTTCCCCAAGGGGCTTCCTCCACCACTTCCACTGCCTGGGGCTAGGCTAGTTAACTGGAGGCTCAGCAACCGGGTCTTTTGTCGAACGGGCATCAGAAGGCCCATCCCAAGAGCAAACAACGGCGAGGCAAGGAGCCACCTCCCTACCTTTGAGGAAGCAGGCCTTGTTCTGGACCACGGCGATCTCCTTCTGCAGCAGGCAGGCGGCACGGTGCAGCTCGCAGTGGTTTTCATAGAGTCTCCCATCGGAGCCACACACGGGCACGAAGCTGGGCCTGCAGGCCTCCAGGCACTGGCACGCGGGCTCCCCCGTCTCCCCACTGAGCACGCACCTGCTCCCACGGCCGCAGAACTTCTTCCCACAGGAGGCTGGCAGCCTGTCGTGGCCAAGTCCTGCCAGGCACACAAACAAGGAGGGTCGGATGTGAACCAAGGAGTGGGGTTCAACTGCCTCGTGGCAGCCCAAAGTCATGGCAAGCAGCAGCTCTGTCTGCCTGTGAAGCCCAGGTCTGGGGTGCGGTGTACAGCCGGATCCCCTGCCCCCCTCTGACAGAGCTGGCCCCCCTCCGACAGAGCTGGGCATGGGGAGCCCAGCACTCGGCCTGCAGTGCCCAGGTATCCCAGACAGCTCTGGCCGTGTGGCAGGGAAGAGAACACGCAGGGCAGACGCGGAGGAGACAGCACCGGGCGGACGCAGCGCAGGCGCAGCTCCTGAGCCACAGGGAGGGCACCCGACAGGACGTGGAGCTCTGTGCAGGGCCAGTGGGGTGGGGGTCGAAGGGGCGCAAGCGTGGTTATAGGCTAGATACGGAGAGACAAGCAGAGGAATCCTGGTCTATGCACTGGGATAGTGTGATGCACTGGGGAGCCACAGAGTGCTGGGAGAAGTGAGGAGTAAGAACGAAGCACTCGTCTAAGGGCTGGGGGTGGCGGGGCAGCCAGAGATCCATCCTGGGGAGAACATGACTGTCCATGTCACAATCGTCAGGGAGGCCTCCCCGGCACAAAACTGCAGCACTGGCCAGGAAGGCCGAGGCCTGGAAACAGCTTGGGTCTCAAACCATGTGCCTGGGGTCCACTGCACCCACATACCAAACGGGGTGGTGGGCAGGCTGGCCTGTTACTGATAGGTGCTCTGAGCCAAGGGCTGGGCGAGCACCCACAGCCAGCACCCTCCTTAAGGGGCCCGCAGGACTGGCTGCCTGCCACGAACAACAGAGAAAGCTGAGCATTTCAAAGGGATATCGAAATACAAGTAATTAAAACATGAATGCAGATCTCATGGCCGCAGAAGTCTTTGCTTTAAATTTTAATTAAGTCTTCCTCAAAATACTTGGGGGAAACCAAGTGGCCCTGTTCACCCACAAGGAAGTTGCAGCCCCAGCTCTAACCCCACGGGATTAAAACATCTAAGGGAAGAAAGAACTTCCTTGTCTTGTTTCTGGTTTAGTCTGCTTTTCATCATTATAGATTTGAAAGGGGAAAAATCAGTTATTGGTAGATTAACTGCTTGATTCAATAACTCATTTAAATTCCTCCAGCCTTGGCAAGCTAAGAAATATTGATTTTTTTTTGAATCATAATAAACTGGAAGGTCAAAATAGCTCTGAGCAGTGTAAAAGTGCAGATCCTATGTGGGTGTGTGAATCTCCTTTATCCACTTTGCTAATTGTGCACCAGTCACCCTGACGGCTCAGTGCCCTCCCCCCCCGCCTCCCCCCCCAGCCAAGGCTGCAGGCCGAGGGGAGCTGAGGCTGGCAGGGTGCGAGCCTGGACTGGCGGCCTCCACCCACGGTGTTTACGGTTGCTTTGCCACAGAGTGCCTTTGATTAGCACGATCCTCCTGGGTGGCCGTGAAATGAGTTATCCTGGGAAGTGCTGGCGGCTACTAGGAGAAACTAACACAGCTCTAGAAATACCAGCCACTGCAGCCTTCGTTTCTTTCCTAGACAGGGCACAAAGCACTGCTCTAACAGACCTGCCGGTGTGACGGGGAGAGCACGCACCGTTTTGAAGAAACAGTGGAAGTTCCTGGGCTTCTGTACTCAGGTCCTGCCTTGGGGACTCTGGCTCTGCTGGCCACTTGCTCTTCCAGCCTAAACTGCACCCCCTACTCAGAGCCTCCCCCCACCCTCAAATGCAAGCCATTTGTTCCATAAGCATGCTCTGCTGCTATGGGAGCATCTGCCCCACACGCAGGAGCACCCCACCCCGCACCACCCCGCCGGGGCAGGGGCTTTTCCTCCTGTGGTTCTGCACATTCAGGCTTCCAGAACACAATGGCTAGAAAAGCCAATTTTTTTTTCTAAAGATTTATTTATGCTTACAGACTGGGGTATAGGCCAGAGGTGCAATGGGTGAGAGGAGTCACCAGAGACAGAGTGGGGAGAAGAACAGGCAGACGGAGTGAAATACACCACTGGGGGGAGCCGCAGGAGGGTCAGGAGAGGTCTGTGGGGCCGTGTGGGTCAACTCCCTGGCCGGGGATTGAACTCATGATGCAGTGGCTGCGGAGAGCTTCATGGTGCAGTGCTTTACCCCACTGCGCCACCAGGGAGGGCCCGGGAAAGCCAATCTTCACTCTGGTCTGGTGCCACTGCTCAAACTGCAGGCTGAGGCTGGGATGGGGAGGGTGGTGGGAATGCCAACACACCCACGCCTTGTGAAGATTCATTTCCCCTTGCTCCTCCAATGAGGGCATAAGGGAAGCTGAAGGATGGGGGCGTGGGCTGGTGACGGGCCTTCCGGGGTTCAGGGGCCTGGAATCTGGGTGGCATAGCAGGAAGGGCTGCAGGGGCCACGTGGCCCGCCCTGGCAGGCCACGCACAGCAGGCTCCATGGACAGGGAGGGCGCGCCCTGCACTGTCTGTCTCCTCTGGAGGCTCACATGTGCACCGCAGGGAAGGCCTCAGGCTCCACGAGCTGTGCGGCACCCCCGGCCCGCAGGCCCCACTCGGAGGCCTCCCCACCTCCTGGCCCTGGAGGGCTGCTGTTCAGAACACACTCGTGCCAACTGCGTTTGTCAAGGCTGTCACCCACCCTCAGCTGCTCTGCCGCTGGAAAATCTCTGATTCTAATTATTTGCAGTTAAGGCAATAGGAGCGCAAAAGCCTGCGTCCACCTCCCCAGTCTGTGGACAGCAGGTCCACGCACAGCGCAGGCCTGGGCCCACCCACCGTGGAGACGATGACCAAGCACGGGTGCCCTCCTTCCACGAGCCCCCTGTCACCACTTCCTCCTTGTTATTAAAACAGAATGAATTCCCCACGCCTACCAGCAGCACGTGATAAAACAGTAATGGGAAAGGTAACCAAGTGAGACGGCCGGCCAGCGCCTGTGGTATTTATGAGGGCGCCTGCGACGCAGGGAGCAGATATAATGTGCTTAATTTATAGTCATAAAGAACGGTGTTTACCCAGGTTAGAAACCGATCATCTTACCCAATAAGCTGCTTTCCGACACTAATTAAATTGACTGAACATGGTCAGAAATGGGAATTGTTATGTGAAAGTTAAGGTGGTGGTGGGGGGGAGGGGGGAACACGCCCACTTGCGCCAGAATCCCTGGGACGCGGGGAAGGATTTTCCGTGGAGACCTCCTTCGCTCCCTGGGATCAGGACCGACCACAGCACAGAGCACAGGCAAGCTGGGTATTTGCTTCCAAGCCGTGACTCCGTCTCTGACTCTGGCACAAGGGAAACCAGCGAGTGCTCCCTCTCAGGTCCGGGGTGCTGAAGAGCAAGCAGTGGGGTGCAAACTGTCTCCGGGCGGTTGCCAAGGGCAGCATTTTTCTCCGAGAACTTGCCTATGGAAGATAGCCTTGGGGCCTTGGGAGGACCCCACTCCAGGTTTCAGTGGGCCCAGACCTCTCCCTGCAGATCTGCCGAAGGGTGGGGACTAATTCCCCTTACCTGGCCACGCACCGCCCTACCATAAAGGCTCGGCTCTCAGGTGGCTGTACCTCTGCAGGGCTCAGGGAAAACCAGAAGAGTGGGCTATGGGTGCAGATGGGCAGAGGGGCACGCACCGTCCTCAGACCTGACCGCCCTGCGCGCTGACCGCCTCCCTGCCGCCCCCGGTGCAGAGTATGCAGACATGCGGGTGTCAAGGGCTCCCGAGGCAGAGCGGTCATATTCTCAGACACATGCAGTGAACCGACGTCCTCACCCTCACAGGAGGGAGCAGCCGGGGGCCTGGAGCCCAGCACGCAGAGCACGGGGCTGTGCAGGAAAGGATCCCGCTCCAAGGCAGACCCCACCGGGGAGCCTGCAGGAAGCTGTGACTTCAGTGGTGAGGATGCCACCTTTCCCAACTGACAGTCTAAAAAGTGGGGTGACTTTGGGTCCCTAAAAAGCCTTGGGTCAGCCCCTGGGAGCTGTGAGAGGGATACTCTTGTCACCTTGATGTTCAGGACCCCGGAGGCCCTCCTGGCTGAAAGAGTCCCCCCTCAAATCCACTGGTTAGAAGCCCTCACACTCATGGGCTGCTGCTGGTGGGCAGCAGAGCAGCCCTCTGGGTACCTCACACTGGTCATCTGTGTGTGAGCCCCCACACCCTCCTGGTGCCTGGCTGCTGGGGTTGCCCAAGGTCCACAGCTCAGGCCTGGGAAGAGAACCTAAGATCCCTCCCGGGGAGACGAACATTTCAATGCCTGGCCAGAGAGGGCACTGCTTAGTGGGCACTACTGAGTGTGCCAAGGGCCTGGCACCACCTCACAGAACGCACGAGCTCAGGATCCCGCAGCCACCCTCACAGCAGCCCTCTGCGGCAAGCACACAGGCCCTGCCCGGAATGCACCCTGGCGTGTGTAGGAGCCCGTTTCGCAGGTTAGGAAAGGCCCAAGAAGTTACACCGCAAGAAAGCTGTGGCTGGTAGAGTCAAGATTTGAATTAGCTTCCCCCCAAGTCCCTCAGGTTTGGGAGTCTGCTCGGCCAGGGATACGGTCCCTTTCTCAAGGACTCGGGTCGAGGGGCCAGAGGTCTGCGTCTGAGCTTCTGCACGACCAGGCACACCCAAGCATCCCCGCCGGCCTGCCGGACCACTGCTGCCCACCCACCTTGAGGACTGGTGGCTCCCGCGCCTCTGACAACTTCTCTCAGGCAGGAGGCTCGTGAGGAGCCTGCTGGGTGTTCTCAACACAGGGAAGCCCACCCTTGTCATGGACGGACAGCTGACCAGACCCTGCCCTCTGTTAGGACATCTCAGCTTCAGACCTCCCCTCACCACCCCCAACCCCTCTTCTGGCCATTCCCTCCAAAGTGTCCTGGTGTCAGCTGGGTGCCCTGTGAGCGAGCTCAGGGCAGAGCCCCGCAGGGGCCCTTGTGTGCACCGCTATAGGAGAAGCTTCCCCAGCTCTGAAAGCCTTGGCCAGTTCTCAGGACAGAGAGCATCCC